TGCACCAAGCCCAGGAACCCTCTGTGCTTCGATCGCAGGAGTCTGTGCTGTGCACACGCCCAGGACCAGGCTCTTGGCTCCCGGCATGTGCAGAGTCCTCACCCCCTTCACACCTACAGCCTGTCACCACCACCCTGCACACCAGTACTACCTCCCGCTCACAGCCACCTGGAGCTCACACGTACTGCCCCACCTTCCAACTTTCCTACCCACTGACCCTCAGGACCCCCGCCCACCAGCTTCCTTGTCCCTTCTCCCACGTGCTTTGCAGCCTCTGACCTTACCCACCCCAGCCCCTTAGCCAGCTGCTTCCCTGCATCTGTGGGGCTCCCTTATGCCCCTCCCTGGTGAGGGATTTTGAGGAGCATGTGTTTTGTAGGCCCAAACCACTATCTGGGCCCCAAGAAGGAAAAGGCGGTGTTTGGGAGTGGGAGCAAAGCCCAGGTGCCCCTGGGTTGGAGCTGGGAAAGCACAGGGAGGGGTGAGTGGACTTCCCTGGATCCAGCGACTCAGAGGGATGGGGAGGAGGGGGTCCCCGCAGCGACGGGCAGGGGCGGAGGGGAGGCGCACGGCCCCAGCCCGTCCCTTTCAGGGGGGACTCATGCATCAAACTTCAATTTTCCGGACGATTGAATTAGTGATTTTTTTTCTCCTGAACTAAAATACACTTAAGTCTTTGGGATTAATTACCACGTTCTGGTCCCTCAGACTGGAGTATTACTTATCGGAGCTGCGTCTGACACCGGCCCGACACCTCGTAAAATAAGGAACTGCGCCTCCCGGCCTCACCCGGCGCCGCCCGCCAGGCCACCGAGCCGGGAAGCTGAGCCGGGAAAGCAGAGCCAGGCGGATGGCGCGGTGCTGCCCGGCCTGGCGGCGCGCGCGGAGGGGTCTCCTGTCCGAGAGAAAAACCACCACCGCCCCGGGTGTGGGAAGCCGCGCTGAGATCCAGGACCGACCGAGAAGGGAGAAACGAAGCCAGACCGCCTCCCCTGGGCAGCCGAGAACCGAAAGTGGGTTCTCAGGCCAGAGTCCCGGGGAAACCGGTGGGCTATGGCCCTAGGCAGTGCTGCAACTCCAGCTGAAGGGTGGGCGGCTCAGAGGGTCCCAAGCCTTAACGAACTTCTCCCGGAGATTGGGCGTGGGGTTCACAGCCTCTCGCGCGATGCACGCCACGCTCCCACGTACACAGGCAGCGCACACGCCCCACTCCCACGGAGCGCACACGCTCAGCGCTCACGCCGCACACAGCCGCACCGAGGCAGGCCAGCAGGCGCCCACCACGAGGCCCAGGGCCAGAGCTTGGGGTTCAAGGCCCTCTAGCATCACAGGACCCAGCAGCAGCACGGGAGGGCAGGCCAAACCCGCGCGGACGACCCGCTCCTCCCTGCGCGGGAGACACTTCACCAGAACTGGGAGGGCTAAAGGGAGGGTGGGCCAGAGCCGGAGTCCCTCCACTCCAGCCCTTCGCCCGACCCACTAAGCCCCTCAGCCCCTGCCCACCGCGGCCAACTTCCCCATGCCTCCCGGTGCATTGGGGCCTGGAAATGAGCCCCAAGCTGCTGTGCTCGGCCGGGTTGAGTCGGGCCTCGACAGCCTCACGCTCGACTCGCGGGGGCTCGAAGGCCATCAGCAGCTTGGCGGAGGATCGAATCCAACAGAGCCGGGTAGACTGGAGTGGCTCAGATCCAGTTCCCAAACTGCGCTGGACGGAGCATACAGCAGGCTCCTCGCTGGCCTCTGGGGCCCGGGTTCAACCCTTTGCATACCCCTCACTCCGCCTTCCCTCAGACTGCGGCCGCCCCTAGCCTTCTGACCATCTGAAACAACGAATTACTTCTCATCCTTCAAGGCCCAGTCCGTGCCGCCTCCTCTGAGAAGCCCCCACCACTCTGGAGTCTGAAGTCGTCTTTTGGCATTCGGCAGGTGGCACTTCCCTGCCCCTTGGGCAGGCCTCCCACCAAGGCCAGGGGTGCGGCAGGGTTTGCCCACTCGACTGGGAGCTCCTTGAGGGCGGGAATCGGATCCGATTCCTTGCAATTTCCCAGCCCTCTGAGCCCGGAGGAGCAGAAAAGATACACAATAAACAGTTGCTGAGTTGAACGGATTTTCCCCTTTATTTTATTAATCCTTTCCTTTCCTTCTTTCCTTCTTTCTTTTTCTCCTTCCTTCCTCCCTCGTTATTTTTTATTTCTTGGTTATATTCAATTGTCATGTTTTTCAGGCTCATTAAATGCATTTAGAGACAAAAGAATAAAAGGCAGAAAGGGAAGGGAGGGGGAGGAGGGGAGGGGGAGGGG